TTCATCATCACTTTAAACTAAATGTGGTGAATACATCTTATATAAATGATATGATGCCCGTCTCGAAACCATATTTATAAACGAAAAATAAAGAATATTATTCTTCGCTACCGATGAGCATTTATGCACATTTCTTGTCGAGGATTTATGGCCAACTAAATTCGAAGGTGGAATAAGGACTCCTCAATTGAGAAATGGAATTAAAGCAAGAAATATTAATGAATGATCTAGGCATAGCATTCCATAATAGAATTCTAAATTAGCCAAGCCAATTTCAGGACTTATTTGAGATATAGGAGAAGACCGGTCATAGCAACAGGGTCTGTGGCAAGAAGCTCTGCAAAGATAACCCTTGAACCGCGTGCTTTCCGACCCTAGCCTTAATCAGGCCAGTGTCAGAGTTTAGATGTTAGTGTATTAAGAGATTATTAGCTATGCCAGAATAAAGTTTCTCCGTGTGATATAGCAACTGATATTATGATTTCCCCACTAGCTCGACTATCAGCTCAACAAAAGGGATTAGAAACCGGCATATTGGCGAATCGTAAAAATTGAATCCGTTCAGTGCTTGCCATTAGAAGTGGAGACGTTACTTATTATTTTTCGTGTATAAGGAGGTTTTGGAGAATACCAGTAAAGCATTTTAATATCTAAATTGCATTCACTCTATTTTGTTTAAGGTGATAAGGTGAGTGGTAGTTACTTATTTTGTTTTGAAATAAGAGCTGTACTGGCACCATCTCGCTTAAGGTGATAAAGGACTAGTATTAGGATTTTCAAATATTGATGCAATTAGGCCTCACAGTCCGATTATATTTAGCACAGCCTTGCTTTCCAAAAGGTATTCTAATCAAGGCTGGGTTAGACTTCAGTTTGGTACTTATCAACACTCCCAGCGGAACTCAAGACTACGCGTTGCACTACTCGGGTTCGAGTCCTGCTAAAGGTGCTAAGAGACCTAGACAAGGTTGAACCCTGGATGAGAATACATCATGCTCATCAAATCTGTGTGAAATTGAATGGAAACATCAGGTCTATTCATATAATTATGGGAAAATTTAGCTAACATTCCTTCCTCGCCTTACTCAAAATAGGGGGAATAAGAGTCTCATATCAGATCTTCTGGTAGCCTCTAAACTTATAAAGGAAAAATCTGTTTAGGGATTTTCAATAATTCTTGAATAGGCAGTTAGACACCCAAGATTGTTTAAGGTGTCCTGTGGGCCACTTACAAGCGTGGCCGTGTGGAGGAGAAGTGACGCATCGCACGATGCTCACAATTAGGTTGAAAATCCCGTTAATATGGCCAATGGAACCTAGGCAAGGTCGAAACTGCTATTCATTAAAATCGTCAGGCCTAACCCTATCATTGTGGGAAAATTCCACTATTAGTCCTGAAATCGCATCAAAGAACCGTATTCAAGAAAAATTGAGATATTCGAAATATACTCACATATGAAATCTGACACTTGCCTGATTAGAACACTATTCAGAAGACATGATTTCAAGGGTATGTTCTTCGAGCCACTTGTTGCAAACGCTGTTGCAGCCGATCAGCACCTCTTGTCAAATAAGCCTCGAGATTAGTTTGGTCGAGTCATATATATTTTTGGAGTCTTATGTATTGATCGTTCAGGGATATTTCAAACCTTAATTTAAATTCGTAATGACTATTTTCTTCGTTGGTTAATGAATCTTCTGCTAACACTTAAGGACAATAATTTTATTCTCCCCTTAAAGCATAACTGCAAAATAGCTTCTTGTTTGTGAATAATAGCATTTCATAGTTGATCGAAAGGGAGACTCGGGATGGCAGAAGAGGACATGAAAGATTTAGATGCACAAAAATGTATGCAAACGATCAAGAAACAGCTCTTACGTAGACTTGATTTAGAACAGCACTGAAGAGTTCCGTTATGCTGAATTTGCAGGCACTAATGAATTATGCATATCAAGTCGGATGAATGGCTTATAATGGAATTGATTCAAATTTTCTGAATACTCCACCTATTTAGAAACCGAAATAAGTAGAAGATTGCACTCGCTCTGTTTGGACATCTTGATTCTCATAATTTCACTAAATTTTCATCGCGTGCTAGCTTTTTCGCCCACCTATTATTCAGTCATAATTCTAACATTATGTAGCAAAGCTGGACAAGAGGAAGTCACTGCTTCAGGATTTATGGGTAACTTTAAAATGATGCCGTATATGAAAGTTTTAAAAGCTCGCCCAATTGTGATATCTAAATCGATGCTTAGTGTCATTTTCTTTTCATTTGATAAAAACCATTCATATATGGTCGTATGGCCACCTTTGCTATACTCTTAGCTTTCGCCATTATTTATGCATCAATTAAAGCACCACCAGATTTACTAAAAAAAGTAACCTGTATTCCATTTCATGACAGAGCGACTTGCAGTAGGAGTGAAGTAACTGATGAAAGACATTCATAAATTTGACCCTCTAGAAAGTAAAGCAAAAGTGTTGATCGTGGTGAATAAGTCTTGCTCTCATACTTCTGCGATCCCATTGTCCTGCCAAGACAGAAATCATTGGGGAGCTGAAGCGCAATTTAATAAGCTTCGTTAAATAATTGGCCAGAATCTGCCAATTCATGGTCGCTTAGAGCCAACATTTCACACGAAATAAAATGGCTAAGAGAATCATCAAGACTTAATTTTACTTCATATATAAGAACAATGTAAAGCTATATATTATTAAAAAAACTCATTCGCCTACATCTGAATCCCAAAATTAGTAACCAGTAGAGCTGACCACATCCAATTGTTGATATTTGCTTTTCACATAGTCTCGTATTTTGGACTATCAATAGGGTATCTTTTGCAAATAGAATTAAGAAGAATCTTGAGAGAGAACCTTATAACTTGGCTAAAATTAGAAGCTTGCAAAGCATGGAAACAGTTCATTGATTAATATGTATTAAGCCCAGGGGTAAAAATTACACTGCGGAAATAAAGGCAATACTCATATGTTTTCCAGATGAAAGTAGGACTAATACTGCCCTAAAGATAGTCCCTCTAATCGATAGATTAGTACTTTATAAGAATAGAGCATTTAATAACATTGGGAGTCCTAGAAACTATTATAAGAAACTGATAAACTCTTACAAATATTGGCTTAATCAAATATGTGTTAAGATATATGGAAAAGATGCTGCAGTTGATTGTTGACGGCTCCGGGGTATAGCTAAGGGCTCTACAGAAACAATAAACGCTGGAATTAATGATGAAGAGGTGATCGTTTCTATTAGGGTCAGTAATTAGGATTACATAAAGCATAAGGCATCACGATATTTTCGTACCCAACTAAAACAACTCTCAAAAACTGGTAAATTTAAACCAGGTTATCTTAGAACTTTGTTAATCATGTGGCGATTTGACTGCAAGCTACGATTTATTAACTATATTTACTAGCAATCCTGTAGGCAAGACAATATATAGAGTTAACATAAGAGTATGACGCAGATTCAAATAGGTATGAAGTTAAGCTACGAGTAAATTATGAGATCGACACATTTTGTAAAGAATAGAGCCTGTACTAGGCTTTCGCCCGTCATGTGACAGATATTATCAGAACAAAAAGCCATACTCTAGGGAATAGTGCAATAATAAATTAATACTTTTTACTTGGTTTAATATAATGTTGCGTTATTTCGTAAAGTATACCTTCTTGCTCTGACTATATCTGTTACCTCATAGGCGAAAGTTTATAAGGGGTTCATCGGATTTTCAGGATGATAGCCGAGAGCTTCTTCATAAAAATCCTGAAACCTCCACTCCAATCTTCACACCATCGGTTTCCTGTAAGATAAATTCTCAC